TGAAGAGACCGCCTTCCCTCCTCTTCTCCTACAAAACAATATGATATCTGGCTCTTGACTTGTTTTTTTTAGATTTCTGGCAAAGCGATTTCAATTCAACTGAAGGCTTTTGACTGTCTGAAACTTTACTGGAGGTTTTTGAGCAGAGAGTGCATGGGCATTAGTTTGCAGTGTTTTAGGAGCAGGCAATCCTTCCTCTGTACATCTGTGTGTGTGGCTGGATGCGTGTGGAACTAGGTTAGTTAGCAATCAGGGCCCATGGTCAGAGGTAATATCTTTTATTAGACCAACAACATTTTTGCAAAAAAAAGTAAATCTTAAATTGCAAGCTTTCAGGCATAAACACGCTTCATCAGGCATCAGAGCAAAGATTGTAAAAGTTCTCCTGGGTAGAAATGAAAGTGGTGTCCAACCTCTGATCTGCAGGCCACATCTAGCCTGCAGAGTTGTGTCATCCAACCCATGGTGTGTCCCACAGATCCAAAAAGTTGGTGGTGGGGGAGCCATGGCAGCATTAATAGCTGCTTCCCTGCTGCCAAAATTTCCATCCCTGTGGCGAGCCTCACAGGCTGGATGATGTGGCTCTGTGTGCCAGGGTGCATGGGGTCACTCCATGGCCAGATCCAGTGTGTAGGGTCGAGCTAGCTTAAGGAATCAGACCAAGGTTTGACTCTTGGGGGGGGTCTGCAAAAAAAATTAAACCAGTTCATTGATTAACAAGTCCGTCTAAGTGAAGGAGCAGTCTGATCAGAGACCCCACCCAAGTTATAATTTTCAAATCTTACAGGGGGCTCAGCCGCCCGGAGCTCCCCTTCAGTTTGCACCCTGGATCAGACCGGCACATGGCTGGATCCAGCGTGCAGGGTTGGGAGGGTGCACGGGATCCAACCTGTGGACTGGCCTCATGCTACTCATCCAGGCAGCGGGGCCAGAAGGTTGCACACCACTGAGCTAGGTGCAACCCAAGGGTCCTTCAAACCAGCGGTCTTATGAAACGTCCTCATTGATGTTCTTGTAAAGTTGGAAAGGGAGAGTTTCAGGCTGCACTTTTAGATGCAAGGAGAATTAATGCCAGCGGTGATCTATCGTTTCCTCTACAACATCAGCACAACTAGAAGATGGAAGTACAAAGCACCTGCATCGGGGTCCCTTGATCTGAGAGTGTGTCGGGAAGCTCCTTGCTGCCGGGGGAGGAGGGAGTCGTATATATTTTTGCTAAGGGGGCAAAGGGGGTTTTTTAGGTATTGTCATGCACGCTCTTGTGCAGCTCCTTGCTCTTGCACTCTCGCTCCTCTCTCCTGCCTGGGCTGTCTAGGGAGCTGAGGCTGGAAGGGGGGAAGGATCTGTCATTGCTGTGGAGGATTCAGCCCGCGCTGTGATCCCACCCCTTTGCTTGCTGCTCTTTGGGGCAGGCCTCTAAGTTTGCAGCCGTGGAGTGTCAGGAAGCTTTCTTGTCAACGCCGCACCGTTGAGAAGATTTGTCCTCAAGTTCAAAGCAGCACTGGCCTCAGACGTGTGATGTTTCCTGACCTTTCCCCTCTCCGGTGCCTCGGCCTGCTTTCCTTTGAGGTCAGCGTCAAAATAGAGACGTACGTTTCTGCAGCTTGACCATGGCTCTGACGCTTTAGATCAGGAATCCTATAGTCCATTTGTCTTCCCATCTGTCAAGCAGCATTTGAAGCCAGCTTGCTCTTTCAGACAAGTGTGAGAGTCAGTAGCTTTTTTTAATGAAGGTTTCAGCCCATAAAGCATGTGCTAGGATGCCACCTATTAAGATCCCGCGATAGCACCTTGAATAGAGATCAAGCGCAACGGAGTTCACTCCAAACTTTAATTCCATCAGCTGGTTTAGATGCGTGCTGTTGTGTCGCCCTGGAAAGTCAGACCGGGCTGCGCTCCTGCCTTTGCTACTGAGTGACTTGGGGCAAGCGACTTAGGCACTTGTGTGTGTTTAAAAAGCAAAGCAAAACACTCAGCCCCGCTTTGTGTGGCTGTCCGGTGTCGGCGCACCATTGTGCTTTCACTGGCACTGCTTGCTTATTCCTTGACAGTGTGAAGTAATGAGACCCGTCAAGATTGCCTTACAGCGGACAAGGCCTTCATTTGCTTGGCCTCGGTCCAGCAAAGTGAAGGGGAGTTGGTTTGTACAGCACAGCTGTCATACAAGACTGAGGGTAGTTGTTGGCCCTGTGCCTCAGTTTACTCCTCTGTACAATGGCAATAAAATCAAGGCTATGGGGAGGTTTCATTAAGAAATTAGATTAAAAAAAATCTGTGCAGCATAAGGTACCGTCCTTGGCTATTTCAGGTAGTAGTTTACCTTGTGCACTGCCCACCCCTGCTAACAACAGGATCTGCCTTCTGCTTCAAGGCAGGGGGAGCGTTCACAGCGCCCAGGGAAGCATCATCTCTGCTGGGCCACCTTCCCGTAAACCCTCCTAAGAGCCCGGAGAAGGGACCAAAGCAATCAGGACTCATGGTAGAAGTGCTATCTTTCATTAGACCCATTAGCTTTTTGCAAAAAAAATAATTTCTTGAATTGCAGAAAAGGGGCCGTTCATTTTTCTGAAGTATTTTGCAAATGCCTGTTAGAGGATGCTTTGAAATCTGGGGGGAACCTTCTCTCTGGTGGCACACGTGGGTGGCAAATGGGATGCAAAGCCGGATCGGGTCTGGGTTTGGCCCTGACGTTGCAGCCGGCTATCTCTGGTCCCTTTATAGTTCAATGTCGCCCAGTAGCGGAGGGGCAGGACGATGGGCAAATGCTAACAAATGTTGCTCTTTGTTTACAGAGCCCAGATGTCCCCGGAGAGCTGAGGAGCCCCAGGAGACCAGACTTGAGCCATTGATGGTTAAGCCCGACTTGACTCACTGGAGTCAAGGCCACCATATGGCCCTTCCTTTGAAATAGGACCTGTGCCATAGGTAAAGTATGAGCTGGACCCAGGCGTCGCTTTGATGCCTAACGCCTTCAGGCATCAGACACCCACTCTTCCGGGCTTCCTTTTGACCAGAGCGGCTATCCCAGTTTCAGGGCCCTGCGGATTATTTTTTGATAGGTAAAATATGGGGTATCTTGGGTGCAGTCGGTACAGAAAATGAGCAATGCCCTGTTTTCCTTTTGCTCCAGGGAGAGGAGAATATCTGGTTACTCAGCCCTGGCACACGGTCTTCTTGGAGGCAGTCTGATGTCGCTGTGATGTCATCACATACCTCACTTGCTACAATAGGTCCGGGCCCTCCCCATTTTTGCCTAAAGCTTAGTTTAATCCTATTTCAGTGGCAGAGATACCTGCATCTTTAGGGAGAGAATTTGGCTTCATGACAGCTATTTTGCTACTAGCATCCCACGCGAGGAGGCTGGGGAGAGGGAGAGCGGGGACGGAGCCGGGTGGACGTTGCAAAGAAAAAGCGTGCGTTGATTTTGGGGGATGTTTTCAAATATCCCTCCTCCCCAGGTGTTTTCCTGGGGATATTTGTCCAGGCAAAACGGTGTTTCTCTTGAAAGTGAGCAAGAGCCCAGTGAATACTCAGTTTATAAGGAACTTAAGTACCAGGATTTTTCAGGCATATGCTTACAGTTGCTTGGGAGGATGCTGTTTGCTTTGCTTTGCTGACACAAGGGGTTATAAAGAACCAAGGCCTTATTGCAGCTTTTCAATACTTCAGTCATGCCAGCTGAGTGCAAAGCTATCCTATCTAACGGAAGTGCTCCCAGTCACCTTATGAACAGATGACACGCGACAAGTCCCCATTTTCTCTAGATTCAGCTTTCCTTATGCAGATAATGGTATAGTTTTTCTTAGTCTTTGGTACCAGCAAAGTTCAGACTTACCAGTACAAGTCCTGAACTGTGCTCCGTAGACGGCTGTTTGCCTTCAAAAGAATTGCTCGGGGTCCCGGGAGAGGTGGCGTGGTCACCCGTGAACAGGGGATGCTGCAGCATCCACCGACTGAAATACCTGGCCACAAACCCATTTGATAGTACTTTTAAGCAGCAAATAATAGCAGGCGCATTCAAGGTCTAAATCCATCCGCCGCTGATAGTTCAGCGAGCTTTTGGCAGGGGTAATGTCATACACCTGTCCTGGGCTGCTGTTGGGGAGTACAATAGGATTCGGTTGAGCAATGATTGCTTTCCATCCAGTTATGAGTCTCCTCTTGTCCAAGCCTTCTCCAGGCGGAGCTGATCTGGAGTGAAGCCTGTTTTAGAAGGACAGCAGACTTGGTTATGTGCATTGACAGATCAGAGAGCCAACCTGGGCCTGGCACTGGGGTCCAGCTCCTTCGGTGTCCTGTTTGCCCCAGTTATGAGCCAGAAGCCAAGCAGCCAAAAAGAGCTTACTTTGGCTGGACGGCTTACCGAGATAGGAAGGTCCCTGCTTTCCTTCTGCATGTTTTGGACAGAGTTCGTGGCAATTTTTTTTTCAGGGTCTTTGGGAGCTCCCAAACTTTTTTGCAGGGGGAGCCACAAGTTTCCTGGGAGAAGGACTAGGGGCAGTCCCTCCTTTTTGTGGGAGTACAGACTCCCCCGCCCTCCCTGTCACGATCACGTTCCCTCATTCCTTCCATTTTCAATCCCCGTGTCATCCAGAGCAGCTGCTTGCGTGGGACGTTACCATTATTTAATATATTTGTAGCTGTCTTTTAATGCCATTTAGCAGCTGGAAACAAGGAAGAATCATCAACCTTTCAGTAGCCACCTCTCCTGGGAGCCCCAGCAATTGTTTTGAAGGCAAGGAGCGGTCTATGGAGCACAGTTCAGGACTTGGCTATAGCATGGTAAGTCTCAACTTTTCTCACGCTAAAGACAGATAACATTATCTGCATCAGGAGAGTGGAATCTAGAGGGGATGGGGACGTGTCACGTGGCAGCTCTTCCATGGTAATGGCCCATGTGCACTCTCTTACCCCACAATAGGTAGAGATAAGCCAAGTAGCTAAGCACCCAGTCAAGTGGACTGAGCTCCTGGGGTTTAGATTTCATCTAAGAGTAAGTGTGCACAAAGGGAGTTGCCGTGATGCAGCTGATGCATAGTAAAGCCCAGCCCCTTGCCTCTGACACTGGTGGAGATGTCTGCATGAGATGAAGGGGGATGGAGAGGCCAGCTCCTAAGGACTGGAGCCGTGCTTCGGCCCCTGGTACTTTGAGGAGAGCAGGGAGCCAATTCAGAATATGGTGAGTCTTTAGGCTTTGTCACTGATCAAAAACAACTGACAAACTATAACAGGAGATAGATTAGGCCTAATACATCCCCAATGGTCACGTTTACACAAGACGCTTACTGCGCATTAGCCTAATAACACTGCGCAGTAGCGTGTCACGGCAAAAACCCGGTTAATAGCCAGCTGCTCAGTGTTATTAGGCTAATGTGCAGTAAGCGTCACTAAATATCCATGCGCCCATACTACTGCACAGTAACTTTAGGTACTGTGCATTTAGTTAAGACTTTCTTAAGGAAGTCCCAAACTAAATGTGCAGTATCTAAGGTGCATTAATGAACATGTAGACACATCCAGTGTGACCTTATAAGAGCCAGTGGAGTTATGCAAAGAATAATTCTCCCCATCCTTCAGATATAGAGTGTCACATCACGTGGATACACACCCTTGACTTTCTTGGTATCTTTTCCTAATAAATGGGAAGGGAGATGGGTCATTAATAGGCTGTGATGCGAACAACAGGCCATAGTACAGCCCCGATTATTAGATAGATGTAACAGCCACATACACTTGGGTTGTGTATGGCAGAGTGCACGTTTGGTCGTTGTGTATTGTGCTTTTGTGTGTGTGTGCTTTTGTGTGTGTGTGTGTGTGTTTATGTGGCCGAGATGGGCCCTGTTGTTTTGGCCATATGCTCTGCACATGGAAAGCCAGGGCCTGTATCTGGGCAAAATATGTAAAATCCTCTGGCCTTATTGGCTGGAGGAAGCAGAAGACACTCCAGGCAGACTGAGTAAGAGAGTGGCTGGAGCATGGCACTCCCTAGTTGGACAAGGCTTGGGTGATGTCACACCAGGTATATAAGAACAACTCAGCTCAGGTTTTTCTCTCTTTTGCTGGGGGCTCCTAAGAGCTGCACAGCTGCATTGGGAGCCAGAAAACCTGCTGTCCATGGGTGGGGGTCTCCCCTGCTCCTCACTAAAGAGGAGAGCGAAAGCTATGTGAAGGGAAAGCCTCGGGTACAGGGAGAGAAAGCGTGTCTCCGAGTTTAAGACTCCTATTACCTTCCTCTTTCCTCTGCTTTTTTTTCTGAGTGGGATAATACGATGCAGGGGGGTTAATTCCTGGAGCAAACTGGTCAGGGATGGAGTCCTAGCAGTTTTGCTGGCGGTTTTGCCACACAGGCCTTGACTGGGATCATACCGTGGGGGTATTAAGCCCTGGAGCAGACTGAGCAGG